TAGTGTGAGTGTGCCCTCAGATTCCGTTTTCGCCTTTCACTACCCATCTACTACTACGAAATCGATTTTTTTTTTCTTTTCTTTTTTTTTGTAAGTGCCCCCTAGTAAACTTCTCTCCCTTCCCGCTTTCGTTCTTTTTTCTTCAATTCCCCTCTTCTCCGTTTAAGTGCCTTATCGCCTTCTTTTTTTTTTCCTCCTTTTTCTTTAACTGCTCTATCGACTTCTTTCATTGATCGATTATACTTTCTGTTTTTTTTTTTTGTTTTTTTTTGAAAGGCCTTGCGAGCGTTTCGCTTCGCATATCGAAAACTTTGATTTTCCATTTTCCTTTCAGGATTTGCGCCGAGCGCGTGCGGTACCAAAAAAATCGGTTTTCTTTCCTTTGTGCGCGCGAAGCGGCGGAGCTGTACGAGGGGGGAGAGGGGGGGGAGGGGGGATTCACAACACCGCCAAGCCCTGGCATCCCCCAAGCGCAGTGGGGAGGGGGCGGGCAGCGGGGGAGGCGGGGATTCAAAACACCCCCAAGCCCTCACATCCCGCAAGCGCAGAGGGGCCCCGAAGGGGGGGGGAGGGAGGCGTGGGGGGATTCACAACACCCCCAAGCCCGCACATTGCGGGTTCTCTTTTTTTTGGCCCCAAAAAAAAAAAAAAAAAAAATTCCGAGTTTCTTTTGGGGGGAGGGGGAGATTCACAACGCCCCCAAGCCCCCGCATTTTTCATTTTTCATTTTTATTTTTTTTTTATAAAGGAAAACACATTTCGAGTTCTTTTTTTCGTTTGGCCAGAAAACAAAAATAAAAAAAAATAAAAAATTCCCGCCTTCTTCCCTCCTCTAACATCCCCACGTGCTACCCTTCCTTGCATGAATCAGCCAAGGATTGTGGAGATGTGCAGAAAATCCGATCGAATGTGGACGTGATTGTGGAGCGTAGAGTTTCCTCAACGCCCCACGTCCCACTAGCAGGCCCCCCAAGTCCCACTAGCAGCGTAGAGTTTCCTCAACGCCCGAATGTGGACGTGTTTGTGGAAATGTGTGCGGTTGAATTCCTCAATGCCCGAATCTGGACGTATTTGTGGAGATGTGCGGAAAATCCGATCGAGTTTTCTCAACCACACATCTCCACAAACACGTCCACATTCGAGCGTTGACGAAACGCTGCTAATGTGACTTGGCCCCAGGGGTCCCACTACCGTCTTCACCCGAAGAGAACGCCCGGTAATTATCGCTGCATCTGGACCGAAAATTGTGCCAAATACAGCTACAAATGACCGGGCGTTCTATTCGGGTGAAGACGGTAGTAGCAAAGAGGATGGGATTAATAAGCGCCTGAAAAAATATGGACGCATTTTTTTGTGGAGAGGTGTAGAAAATGGCCATTGATCTTCTTTTTTCTGCATCTCTGCATAAAACACATCCACATTCAGGCGCGTGATCCAATCCACTTGTCTTTGTCTTTTTTTCTTCTTTTTTTTTTTTTTTTTTTTTTTTTTTTTTTTTTTTCAAAACAATCCACTTTGCTACATAGTCGGAGCTCGCCCCAGCTGAACGAGAGAGCAGGAATGAATTCACAATGCTACATAGGGCCTCGGTCCATCCACTGCTATCACGACACGCACCAAAGACAAAAAATATGGCGGTGTATGTGCCCGTGTTCTAGCGGAAGATTCATTCTCATTTTGCAATCATTTCCTGAGTAGCGGAGCGAGGCCCTACATAGACTCCCATGCCAGCTGTCATCATTTTCATTTCTTTTTTCCCTCTTATTAACGCTCTTCTTCTCCGTTTATTAAGCGTTTTCTTTTCCCTCTTCGTTTTAAATCCGTTTTCCGTTCTCCACGTCCGTCACACAAGAGGTTTCTTTTTCTTTTTTTTTCTTTTTTTTCTTTTTTTTGTGGAGGGTTTATTTGATGCAGCGTCATCATATATATATATCCAAGGGTCGATCAGAGCGACAAGTACCCTCTAGCAATGAAGACCCCAGCGCAACCTCTGTAGCAGAAGGGGAAAGAAATTAGCCCCTGTGTGTACCTCTTTGTGCACCCCATTTGCGACTGGAATACCTGCTCCTCCTCCCATGAGATTTCCCGCCCCGGCAGTTTTCCCCGTTGTGGTCCCAGCCGCAGAAGCAGTAGTCCCACCACCAGCCGCGCTCCCACCCCCAGCAGGGGGAGCAGCGGCGGGACCCGAAGTATGAAGACCACCTCCACCTCCACCACCACCTCCTCCTCCTCCCGCTCCAGCTTTCGCGACAGCATTCGTCCCCGACACTCTCCCATTCCTCTCTCTCTCTCTCCCTCCCCCCCCTGCTTCTCTTTCCCTCTCTCTCCCTCCCCGCTGCTGTTGCTGATACCTGTCTCCCCTATGCTCTCTCTCCGCTCCCCCCCCCGTTTCCAAGTCTCCCTCCCTCTCTCCTCCTCCCCCTCCTCCTCCTCTGACATGTCTTGCTGCCTCCACCGTAAATTCCTTCACTCTCTCCCTCGGCAACGACGTCGGCTTCCTCTCCAGAGGCCCCGGGACCGGCCCCGGCCCATTCTTGGTATCTCCGTACTGCTGCTCCAAGTGCGCAAACTGCCGCCGGAATTGATCTACTGCGCTTGGGTACACGAAGCTCCCGTTATCCTGCCCGCTCAAGTACTCCCTCTGCAACTTGGGATGATAATGCAGTATCTCTCGGTATATGAGCTCTCTGACGTCGTCGATTGTCACCCTCCTCCTCTCAAATTCAAACTCGAATCGGCTGATTGCCTGGCAAGAAGGCTCCCGCTCAATCTTCGCGAGGCTGGCAAAGTAGGGGTCCGCCAGGGCCTCCTCTGCTGTTGGCCGATTGGCCGGGTCGAAGGCCAGCATCCTCTCGAGAAGCTTCAGCGCCAACGGATCTGCAGACTGAAACTTGTCCTGAAATCGCACACTCTCCTTCTTCCTCATGCTGCTCAGGTACCTTCTCGCCCTCTCGTTCCGCACCTTCGCGATGGATTCCGACGACGGTGTCCCCAGCAAGTCGGTCATCAACTCCAGCTGATGAACCACGTTTTTGCCTGGAAACAGCGGTCTCCCCGTCAGCACCTCCGCGAATATGCACCCTATGCTCCAGATGTCGATTGCCGGCGTATAGCGGGAGAAGAAAGAGCCGCACAACTCCGGCGCCCTGTACCACCGCGTGGCCACGTAATCGGTCCAAAAGATGGCAGTGGGCGCGTCGTTGAAGGCCACCCTTGCGAGGCCGAAGTCGCACAACTTGAGCTTGCAATCGGCATTAGCCAGGACGTTCTTTGGCTTTAAATCGCGGTGAAACACGTTGGCGGTGTGGATGAATTTGAGCGCGCGAAGGAGCTGGTAGAGAAAGAACTGGCAGTGCTCAGGAGTGAGATCGTCGTTGGCCTTGATGACTTGGTGGAGATCGGTTTCCATCAGCTCAAAGACGACGTAGATATCCTTGAAGTCGCGTCGAGTGGGAGGGAGCATGATGTGCTTGACCTCGACGATATCAGGGTGGCGTAGGAGACGGAGGAGCTTGATTTCCCGGAGAATGCGAGTGGCGTCGGACACGTGTTCAAAGATGTCGTTGATCTTCTTGATGGCAACCTTATCACCAGTGAGTTGGTCGGTGGCGGAGCAGACGACGCCATAGCTGCCGCGGCCAATGACCTCCTGGATGCGATACCGGTTAGCCTCGCCGTAATCGCTGAAGAACTCGCGTTCATCCATGGCTTTCCTGCGGGCGTCGCGAGCCGCAGCGCCGCCGCCGCCGCCGCCGCCGCCGCCGCGGTTGCGAGGGAGCTTGACGCGGACGCGATGAAGGTCAAGCTCTCCGCCGCCTCCGCCGACGTAGGCTCTTCCCCGCCCACGCCCTCCTCCTCCAACTCCACCTACCCCGTGCAGTTCGTCCGCTACGGAGGCCGAGGACCGGCCCCCTTGTCTACTTCCCCCTCCCCCTCCCCCCCCCCCCCCCCCCCCCCCCCCCCCCCCCCTTTCCCCCCCCCCCCCCCCCCCCCCCCCCCCCCCCCCCCCCCCCCCCCCCCCTCGCCCCCAGCTCGAAGACAAGCTGCCGTCGTACTCTCCGGATTCGAACCTTCGTTGGAGTCTGACGCCGCAACAACGCACTGCCCTGTCAATCGGCTTAAACTCCGCCGGCACCAATGACGGATCGCATCAAACAGCGCACCACCCATATGCCGGCGCAGCAGCGACAGGCAGCACGTTCGACACGTGCCGCCTCCGCGCTTCCGAGTCCCCACCTCGCCCGCCTTCTGCACCTCTTCCACCCGATTCCCCTCCCCACCTCCACTTGCCAGTCTCTTGGAAACTCCGGCGCGCTACGCCTCCGCGCTTCCGAGTCCCCACCTCTTCCTCCCGATTCCCCGCACCCCTCCACTTGCCAGTCTCTTGGAAACTCCGGCGCGCCACGCCTCCGCGCTTCCGAGTCCCCACCTCGCCCGCCTTCCCCACCTCTTCCGCCCGATTCCCCCCACCTCCGCTTGCCAGTCTCTTGGAAACTCCCCGCGCCTCGCGCGCCGAGTCAACTCAATGCCGCCACACACAACTCAATGCCGCCGATCACCCTTCCCTGCTGCGCCGGCCACACTCCCAAAAACACCCCTTTCCCCCTCTTCAACGGCGGCGGCGGCGGCCCCTTTCTCGTCGGCACGCCTCTCGCACCGTCGTCGCCCGCACTGCCACACCATTCGTCCGTCTTCTGAATCCCCCCCTCTCTCTCTCTCTCTCTCTCTCTCTCTCTCTCTCCACACACACACACACACACCCCTGTTTCCCTCGACAATCTCGCCTCACGCTCAAACACGGACCACGTGCACTGGGCACAGATGGACCGCAGGCATAGAGGGCGCACGCACGACGACGAAGTGGCGTTTCGTCGATGAAAAACTCCTTGTGGGGACTGCGGTGACGTGAGCTCAGAGCTCCAGAGAAAGATAAGCGAGAGGGGAATTTCGTTCTGCCCTCTGGCGGAGGGCTTACCTTCCAGCTCCTCCCTCTCTCCTTCCTTCGATTTTTTGGAGGGTGAAGGTGCTGGACTTCACCTGTTCTTCCTCTACACCCCGTCTCGTGATGCGGGCCGCCGATTTACTTGCCCGCCGCCGCGATAATTTCAAACCGCCCCAGCAGGTACCCCCCTCTCCTCTCCTCCTCTCCTCTCCCCCTCCCCTCCCCTCCTTGCTCTCACCTTCCCAGCGTCGCTTCCAGCCTATACTTCCCTCCTCCGCTGAGCCACCCCCTCACCCCTCACACCGCCCACCCGTACATACAATCCTACCTTGCCGGTGCTGCTCATCAGAACCAGCACGCCGCTGCTAATGTAGAGTCCCCGCCCGATGTAATTTAAGGTTATGGGATTACGCAGAGTATCATCAAATGGTTCCGCAACAAAATGTAGAGTCAAGCAATCAATCAATCAATCAATAACCCCTCTGTTCTTCGTCATTCCCCCGGTCGGTTTACAGCTGTGCAGACTGTCGTTCGTCAAAGGCTCATCATCTCGTCCCCGCCCCTCGTCAGGCCCACGCACCCACCCCTTCCGCCGCCTCCACTCCTCCCTCTCTCTCCTCTCGTCTCTTCTCTCCCCTCCCTCACTCCCCCGCTATTCTCCCGCCGTTCTCTGGACTGGCTTGTCCGCCAACTCCATGCCACGCAAGCACTCTCAGACTGACCGTCCCTCTCTCGGCGTGTACACGTGTCTTCTTCACTCTCTTTTCCACCCCTCCAACTAGGCCACCAACCAGTCCTCTCCTCCCGTCTCCCCCAGTATGTTGTGTAGATAGCCGACAGATAACAGACGGAGAACGTGGGACCTTCACTCTCTCTCCTCCCGCCCTCCCCTTCTTCCCTCCTCCCCCTGCTTCCCCTGTCTTCTGCGCCTCGAATATAGGTATATATATATTGTCACACTGTATATATATATCTATATATATATAGCAGGTCCTTGTCGCTCAGCCGGAGACCAGCCAGTCTTCCTGGGCCACCTTGTAGTCCACCAAATCCCAGATGAACAGATGACTCCCCGCCGACCGACAGAGATTGTCCGACCCGCGCACCTCTCTCCTCTCTCTCCTCTCTCCTCTCTCCCTTTTCTTATCCTGTATTAACGAGATCCCGCATCGTCTCTCGGAATCCTTCACACATGGAGAAGGAGGAAGACACGTGTCCCCCGCCCAGGCAAAATCACGCCTCTGTGATTGCCCACGTGGCCCAGAGACGAGTCCAAAAGCCTAATGCCGTCCCGACAAGCAGCACGAGGTGTCAGAACTCCACCCCTCTACTCCTCTCCCGGTCACTTCTCGCTCATCTCTCTTTCATTCGTTCGTTTCCCTGTCTTCCTTCCAACCCTCATCTTCCCCTCCGCTCTCCCCTCACCTACCCTTCCCAATACCGCCGCCTGCGCACCACCTCACCGCTTCTACTACCCCCTTATCTTCTCCTCCTTTGCCCATTAACCTGGGCTGGCTCCTCTCTCTCTCATTCGTTTTCCTCTCTTCCTTCCGACACTCCTCGTCTTCCACTTTTACTCTCCCCTCACCTACCCCTCCCAACACTCCAAGTCCCGATACCGCCGCCTGCGCACCACCTCCCCGCTTCCACTACCCCCCTTATCTCCTCCTTTGCAGATTAACCCGGGGCACCATTTCTTGCTTCTTCCCTCCTGACGATAGCCTACCCGAGATCCCCGTGGCTGTTCCCCCATATGATCCTCGTCGACAACACGGCACCGGTACCAGCACCAGCCTTGGAAGATGGAAGAAATGCCAAATTCAATTTCAATGAAGTGAAGAAGGCGTTGCTCCTCTGGCCTGAAACATGACCACCTTGGACAAGCGCTCCAGCTATCGTCAATTTCCGAGCACACGACACACGATGCAACTACCCCCTACAACGCCTGTATGCGAGACCAGAAAAGGGAAAAGGAAGGCTGGTTGCTGCTGCGTATCTTCACGACGGACCAGAAGCTCTCGAGCTTAGCTCTTAGCTCGGCCAAGGGAAGACGTGAGAGCGGGAGAAACAGACCGAGACAGAGCTATGGGAAGACGTGAGAGCGGGAAAAACAGAGACTGAAAAGCGAGGGGAAGGGGACGGAGAGAGAGAGAGAGAGAGAGAGAGAGAGAGAGAGAGAGAGTTCAATGTGCAGCGGTCATAATAGAATAAAGGCCCAATTGGCTGATGGGTGGAACACAAGCTAAGTGGACAACACCATCGATATGGACAGAGGGATCTGGATAGCGACAGAGCATACGGACAGACCCTCCTTTCCGTCCCTCTCTCTCTCTCTCTCTCTCTCTCTCTCTCTCTCTCTCTCTCTCTCGGTTCCGCCTACTATCTCCCCGTGTGGCACGACAGCAACAGCAGTAGCAGCACCACGAGGGGCACTGCTACCGCTACAAGGGTGGGTACCTCCCCCCTCCCCCTCCCCCGACACCCGCCCGCGCGCCTGTGGACGCAGACAACCCGGAGGAACAAGAAGGCATATGAGCAGGATGAACGAGATCCACCACCCAAATGAGAAAGAATCCAACTCCGATGAACCAAATCGCTCCCCCTCACCTCAGCTCCAGCTCAGGGTCAAGCTCAAACTCAAAAAGCTCCACTCACCCTGACGAATATGCGAAGAAGCGAAAGGAAACGGCACTCCATTCGTCACACTCCCTCTACCCTCCCACCTCCTCTCCCTCTACCCTCCCACCTTCTCCCCCCTGCTCTGATTTACCGCCCTGACTGCTTTACCACCTACCCCTCCACGTCTGACCCCTCGTCCTCCCCACGCACAGCGCAGTTTGCGCGCCTTGGCCTCACAGAATCGGACACCCGCACGGGACACGCACGCGGGCACCTCAGGCTTCGCCCACGCCCGGGTTCCAGATTCCACCATAAACCACGCGGTTCCGTCGGCGGGTTCGTCCCATCAAGTCAAGAAAAGCAAGGCCCATGTTCGATCCCTAGACTCCAAGCTCCCTTCGGTCGGCGAGCACCACACAGCCCGCCCTCTCTCAGTCGGGCCATACTCACACTACGTACGGCTTTTTTCGACGTAGATATGGACATGATTGCTGTCAGATGCATCTAATCGTCGGCGTAATTGCGGTCAGATACATTCACGAAAGTGTTAGTGTGAGCAGGCCCTCACAGTGGATAATCACACGGCACACAACATTGCTGTCCCGACCGATAGCAGGACTTTCCCAGGTTGCATTTGACGTCGGATACGACCAGATTCGATTCTATTGAAAAAGTCGGCTGTCGCGACCGATAGCAATGAATTTGCCATGCCGTGGCAGGTCTGCATACGACCCGTCAATCCTATTCCCTTTTGGCCTCCCTTTTGTTTTCTTAATTAATAATTAAATATTATTTTCTTAATCTTCAAGTTGTTTTGCCCTCAACGAATGCACTTTACCTATTTCTCTGGACGATGCATTCCTTCTCTTTTCGTTTCGACTGTGGTGTGGCGAGGCCCTATGTATAGTACAGGGGAACACCAACCAAACCTGGAACTGGAACTCTCCCCTTTGTTTCGAGTATGCAAAACAAAAACTACGTGCAAAACGCAGATTTTTTACCATAATCATAAGATTGCACTCGAAGACGGGAACCTCACAATTCTGTCCCGGGGTAGGTGCCATCGCAGTGCATTTTACATTTCTGGCCGTAGATTGTGGAGATCGAGGCTAGAAATGAAGAACGTGCTACGGTGGACCTAGCCCCGGGAAAGTACTGGGACCATTACCCAGCTTCGGCTATTGATGGCAACCAGGTGCAAGGTCCCATAAAACACTCCAGACCACCCTGACTCTTCGGGGGCAAGGCTATAACCTTATAGGCACTCGCTCCACCACAACTGTCCATTTTGCAAAAATAAGAGAAATGGTTATCCCAAAAAAAACATATGTATAATACAGTGTACAAGGTGCAAATACAATGCACTTACGTTGTGCAAAGACTTTTGGGGTACAACTTTTCCAGGGCGGCCCTTTACGGGGTAAGTTGTATTTGCATTCTGGGTTATGAGAGGGTGGCCCTGGAATATATGACAGGCCCCTGGCCTCATCTCTTTGATTGGAAATTGATTGGAAATAAATGCTGCTTTCTGTGGGAAAAGAAGAAGAAGGGAAAAAAAAAAAAAAAAAAAAAAGGCATGAACATTCTACTCTGTTCCCCACCCCCCTCCCTCAAATTTGGTAGCAAATTTCAACAATTTGCATTGTACGTCGACTTTTTTTTTGTTGATATTTTTTGAACTTTTTAAATGGTGAAAAATATTTCAAGTGCCGCAGACTTCGAATACAACGTACAAACGTTATATTTGACCGTACGTTCTATTCGGAAAAAAAAAGACAACGGTTTTCAAAAGTCTGATTTGTGAAGGTAATTCAAATAGAATGTACGAACGTTTTTTTCGGGGTAAGAAGGTAGCCTGTAAAATTGCAAAACTTGTGCAACTCTTAGGGTCACACATTCCCCGTACTCACATATGTCGGCGGCCCGGGGAGCAGCAGGCATACGCATTTTCTGGGCGCCTTTGGGGCACGGTTCCACTGGCACGCGAGTCATGGCCTAAAAGGACCCGTGCGAGTGGGGGATGAAGTTGACGTTTCAAGTGTCGCAAAAGGCCATGATTTGCGTGCTACTTGAACCGTGCCCTAGAGTCCCAAGATGGTAATGAGGCTGACGTTTCAAGCGTTGCGAAATATCACTGTTTTCTTGAACGTATTTGTGCATAGGTTCATTCAACTAGTTCATTCAATTTCGTATATGCATCTGTGAAAATACATGTCCAGATTCATGTGAGTCGTGCAATCGTCTCTTATACTTGGCCGTCGCCCCTCCTCTCAGGCAGACGACCTCCTCCCTTCCAACTCACCCTCCCCTCTCCTCCTTCAAGTTTTGTTTCCCACCCCGCCAATGTCGAAAGAGGTCAAAGTGGTACGTGGCGATTGCAGTCTCACCTTCCACCACGAGCGAGTCTCTTAGTATGCTCGATGGGGCATCCGTCTTTGACAACTGTCATTCGTGCAGTTCGTATATTTTGAAAAATAATAAAGTACTCGATGAGGTTGCAATTCATCAGGAAAAAAAAAACAGTCAAAACCATCCCCTTCGAGTACTTGTTTTTCCTTTTCTCATTTGAAGTATTGCGAATCAAAATGAGTCCTATTTTTTTTCCCTGCCTCTCATTCTTAGCAATTGAAGAAAAAAAAAAAAACAAAAAAAACACTACTTCATAATATAAATCCATGCTGATTTTACTGCCATTCGATTTTCCTGCATCAATGGTCAGGCCATGTCCTACAGATATCCCACAGGTGTTTGTAAGATACATTTTACCTTATTCGTATGTTAATGGAACCGTGTCTCTCGAGGTGCCCGCGAAATGTGTATTGTTTCTATGATTTTTTTTCGCATCCATTAATAAACCACTCGTACCTCGGCCATATATCGGTCGTGGGCTGGTGCCTCTACTATCGGGGGCCAATGCAAAATTTGGGCCATTGATGAAAATTACCAACGACGGCCTGGATCCCCGGAGATCGAGGTGTGTTAATGCCTTCGAGGGTCGAGATACTAGTGGTTTAATTTTTTGTGTTTCGCATTGTGTGACTATACAACGTGTAAATTAACATTTGGAAACTGAAGACTAATCGCGGTAGTGTCTTTTCTGTTTTGTATTAGATGTGGGAAAGTTGTATGATCAGGCGGTGCTTTATAATTACAAAATCATCAATGTAATTTTTTCGATTTTATATGATGTTGTAAGTAGATCCTCAGTTTGACTTCTGATTTGCATAACCGAGTCTCAAAACTGCTCAAAAACGTCCTATGGAGAACACTATTGATGAAGTAAGAGTGTCATGCCTACACAAACAAAACATTTAAGGGAGATCTTGAGTCGGGACAACACGGTCCAATATATATATATATATATTTTTTTTTTTTTTAATTTATTCTACAACAATATAAAATGGATAGAGAATTCAAGAGTAATAAATTGAGAGCAACAGAGCTACGATCATGTTTTTCTCCACTTTATAGGTCTGACAACTTACCTCACTCTCAAGTTTCACATAATACAAAGAGTGGTGAAGTGAGGCCCATAGTCTTTTACCAAACAAAACTTGCTCATAGTTTTTCCACGCTCGGGTCAATCCTTATACATTTAAAAACCGCATAAAATACAAAAAGACGTCTCATGCGCAAACTATATTTAGAACTGAGGTTTCACTAGCGAGTGTATTAGATGAGTGTAAGAGTATCATAAAAAAGTTTCTTCTATTTATTCTCAACTATATCTATATACAATTCAATTTTAAATGCCTTAAAAATAAAAGATCGGTTATTGTCTGCGACAATCACCAAACAAATATGAACTCAGATATGATATTTCGCCCGATTTCGTATTGTGTGTACATTATGTTGATGATACTGATGTATGTTAGACGTCATATTGTTTCGACCATGTAACCATTGATACATCGGTTTATCACTGTTCAAAGACATACATGGTTTATATGATGTTCAACCTCGTGGAACAATTTTTTTTAATGAGTATGTCTGAATAATTGGGTTTAAAGGTATGGGGATTTTTTTTATATTTTTTTTAATATTCATTTTTTTCAGTTTTCTTTCACTTACACGTCTTGTATTTTTATTGTATTTAATAATTTGATTTTTTTTTTTCCATTATATAATCATAGCGTGTTCCCTAATACGACCGAAAGGAAAAAAATTGTACAAAAAACATGTTCAATTTGTTTTACATTGTGATCTACATGACACAATTTCGTATTTTTTTTACCATTTTTTACTTTGTTACATATAAAGGTAAACATCGATGTTAATGAGTTTTCATATCCTCAAATTTTTAATGTCATGTCGTACATCGTTTTTATTTTTTTAAGATCATAGACCAAATATTTAACTAGTCAAAACAAAAACTAAACTTGTTTTTAGCTAAAGGTCAAGAAAGGTATAAACATATCATATTTTAACTAATTCATAATGCTTACAGCCTTACATAATAATGTATTGTTACAAGCAATGTCACCAGCCCGTACGTACGGGGGTCCCCGGACAGACATCCGTACGTACGGGCGTTCGGGGTTCCGTACGAGGTCCAAACCCGACGGCATTCGGCCCACGCCAAAAATTATTTCGGGGCCTCACAATAATTTTGTTTTTATGATTTGTTTTTGGTAAGTTA